CCAGCGCTTCCTGCCCGCTCGCGGTTTGGCTGCGGAGAAGCGCTGGAGCCATTCACCTGTGACCAAGAGCAGGGCGCACCGAGGGTTTGGAGAAGAGGGTGCAGACGGCGAGGGGCATACCTGGCAGCCCCCGTGAACTTTTAGTATCGGGCTGCGCCAGAGATCATGACAATAATAATAGGACAACGGGGGAAAAAATTGCCATTTTGGGGCCCCCTTTCTGTCTGGGTCCAGGGCAGCCACCTGGTTCGGCCGTGCCTGTGTTGGGGTCTGGGGGCATCATCCCATGTACCACAACTCATGTTTTCCTCCAGTTCACAAAGAAACTAGAAGCTTTAGTAATAAGCAAGAGGCCTAGGGCTGGACTATTGAGTTTAAGGTTGAAGACATAGGCGACCCATAGGGAGGACACGGTTGGGGCACGTGTCCCCCACGACAGGGCTGATATCGCCAGTGGCGCCTGCGGGAGCTCGCCAGCTCCAGCCCTGCCACCAACATCGACAGCAGCATCTGCGGGTGCCCCCCCAGACTTGGGAGGCACCAATCGCCCATGCTCAAAGACAAACACAAATGGGACGTCATGGCCATGAGTTAAAAGCCTTCTGCAAGCCTGTGAATTGGGAGCTTGGTGACCAGGAGCAGCTAAGAAGCAGCAGAATGGCAGAACAAAGGCTAGCTTCACTGATGGATCTATAAGATCAGTAAAAAGAACACCCAAGGAATGACACGTTTCAAAGGGATCAGGTAGACAGAGGATGATGAGCTGTGAAGTCAAGTGTCTGCCTCAGCACTGCCTGATGAGAAATGCTGCTGTCACAGCCAGGGTGCTGATTTTCAACTTGGGTGGAGCAGCAATCAAGCATGAATGACACGTGCCCCGGGTGGCCGGGGAGCCACAATGACTGCCCACAAGCAGCGGTGGGGGCATGGCGGCAGGGAGCTCCTGCAAGTGGCCACAGAGGTGTGAGCGGTGGGGTTGGGGTGGCAAACACCGACTGGCAGTCGGCAACTGGCAACCACCTGCAGATGCCACCAGCAGTGTTGGCAGCGACGGGGGGGTGGCAAAAGGCAACCAATGGAGTCAAAAGAGTGCAAGTGCACCCCCCTCCCTCCATCCGCCCCTGAGAAAGACCAAAGGATTTTGACACTAAGATTCCTCTTTGAAATACTCCCCTGGTTAATCTTGTGAATCATGTTTGCACACCTAACAACTCCATGGCACCCTTGAAAGGATCTCAAGGCACTCCAGGGTGCTGCAACACCCTTGTTGAGAATCACTAACTTAGAGTAAAGGAAAGGCACTACTACACACATAAAACATACCCTCATGTGTAATCAATTGTTTGTCCCGGGCTGCTGAGTTGTCACTTGGCTAATATGGATGCTGTTAAGTGATCTTTGAGCCCCGTTACCTGTCTTAAGATCAGCTCCACAATACATAGAGGCCAGAGGCTGCACACTCCTATTCTCCATTGTTGTTGGCTCCCTGGGACTAATCATGTGGTACATAGATTGAGGACTGCTGCTATGGACAAGTGTTGGACTATGGACTGTTCCCATGAGTAGGGCTTACATTTTTATTACTAATAACAGATACAGAAGAATAAGGCTCAGGTGATCATGTATGATGTTAGGGTAGTACCAGGATCATGTGCTAGAGAATTAAAAAAAACCCAGCTTTCCCATAATCCATCCATATTGTGCAGTTTAACTTCATGGATCTGTCACAGAATACACTTGTTTGTCTCTTATACGTTCAGGCTACCTATTGCCTAGCATCAGATGCAAAATAAATGTCAAACGATGCACATGTCTATGTTAAGTCCTCCACATCTCATTCTCATGCACTATGTTTCTCCATTTTGTATAACTAATTCCTGTTTCATCTTGGAAATGATATCATCTTAACATTAGCTATTCTGAACTAAAACAGTAACTGGTGGACTTCTGTAGCTGTTTGAAAAACCTGATACCCCTATTGTCACACTAGTTAATTTCTGCTGCTATTTACCAGTAATAGTGCTTATTGTATCACCTCTGTCCAAAAAAAAAAAAAAATCAAAACCAACAAAACAGTCTGTGCATTAATAATCCATGCTTGTTAAACTTAAAAGGAAGGTCTCAGTGATATTTTCACTCATTCATCTTGCTACTTCAAATTACAAGTTGCTTCAGACTTTGAATAGTTTGCAATAAAATGACATTCCTGGCAATATCAGATTTGGATAGGAAGTCACCCAAAACAATGACATTGTTTGTAGTGTTGGAGGATTGGTCAGTTCTTGCAGAAAAGTATCCACGTCATTCCTTTATCTCCATGTTGCACAGAACTGGTTGTTTTTTCTTTTTGAATGGTTTGCCTGGAATATTTACATAATCTCCTACATATTGTTAAATCCAGTGATTTGGCTATAGATCAGTCATCATATAGGACTACAATTGCAAATATGAATTTACATTGGGCCAGTTCTGTATGTGGAGAGAGCATGACGACTCAAGACATACTGCTGAGTCACAAGTCCTTTGCTTGATTCCTCTTTGCTTTTGGAGGGAAGGGAAAAGGAGGAAAGGGACATTAAGATTTCCTATTGGCTTACAGTAAACTGCTTTTTACTTTTACTCATGCTAGATGCTGTAGCTAAGGTGTGTGTGCATGCATGCATGCACAGATGTATGTTGGGAGAAGAGGGGACAAAGCACAGGCTCTGGCTCTGTTCTCCAGCCTTTTCTACCAGGTAACTCTGTCAAGGGACTTGTGGATGCATAGCCCCAGAACTAAGTTCTGGGTAGCCTAGCTGGCATCTTAAGTATGCCTTACTCTCTTGTAAAGGCATGTATTGGAAGTCCCAGTTATTGTGGGACTTTGTCACCCTCACTGCAAAGTAGTCTTTAATCAAGCCTGTGGAAACCATTAACCCCATCCTAGATTGCTTAATAATGTGTCAATTAATGGTTTCCATGGGCTTAATTAATAGCAAGCCCTGGTCTGGGGCTATCTGTCAATCAGCCTCCAGGCTTCTGGGGCCCCTTGGTCAATCACAGGCTGGGGTGGGGAGAGGAACTGCTGCACTTTGCTGCAAAAATTGTGCCGGGTGCTGTGCTTGGACCACAAAATCAGATGGCAGCCACCCTGATTTCAGTAGGTCCCTACCTATGAATTGATTTGCAGAAGCAGGGGTTCTACCCAGAAGAAAATGTACATACAAATGATAAGGGGGTGGGGCACTGCTGAGAGAAGCTAAAGTGGATTACATAGGTTAATCAGGATAAACAAGGTAATTAACCCACTAAGGGACATAGAGGTTATAAAAACTAGTCCAGGTAATGGGATAAGCATCCATAATCTCTATTTAGACCATATTTAATGCAATCCAGTCTTTGGATGGTTTCTTATTTTGCAGTTTCATGTTCAAGTCTATTTTATATTTTGTTGTTTAAAAACAGTTTTCTGAGGTCAACAGTGTACTGTCCAGAGATTTTAAAGTGTTTTGTCCTGGACTTTTGTGTCTTTCTGGAATTGATGTCAAATCAATGTCTATTTATTCTTTCTGTAAGGATTGCCCTGTCTATCCAGCGTAGACAGCAGAGGGGCACTGTAAACAGGTGATGGTGTATGGGATTGTAAGCGTGTTGGGGTGCCTGTTACTGTGCATGTGGGGCATTGTACCCTTAGGAGTCCTTCAGACAGTCCAAACAGTAGTCCATAAATGGGCCTGCGTGCCTGCAGCCTCCCTGTGTGGCTTTGCTTCGTGGGGAGCCCCTCAGCCAGTCCTTGTAACACAAAACAAAAATCCTTGGTCCAAACAAACAAATAAAGCAAACTTTTCAGGAGAGGGCCTATAGCTCTGGTCCTTTCCTAGGGGCTAGCTTCTCTGGATTTCAGTCTGCTTACTGGCCATAAAACTGCTCTTTTCCATAGCCTAAGCTCCTTGTTTTTTCCCTGCTTGGGCTTTTAATTGCCAGCTAATCATTCACCGCTAGGCTGTTATCCCAGGGCTGGCTGCCCCACTTAACATGCCAGACTGCCATGACATACTACAGTGACACTGGTAGTGGAGCAAGTGAATGAGCCTCATATGTTATACCCTGTTGTTTGGTCCAATGATGATGTGGTCTGTGTAGGTAGAAGGCATAGCTGGCATATAGATCTGGAGCATAGATGGTGTGGAGGTAGCTGTAGCAATCAGTTGTTTGCCAGTACAATGTTGTGGTGATGTGACCATTATCAAATTTCACAGTGGTGTTGACGAAATGAATATGCCTGCTGAAAGCCAGTGGATTTATTCAGGCTGGGGTGTTAGGTGGGAGGATTAGGGGGGGCAGAGGTGGGTGTTGGGGGTGGGAGGAGCAGCTGCAGCTCCAATTCTGACCCAAGTCAGAGTTGCAGCAGCTGCCTGCCCCCTCACTTGTACTCAAATCTAAGGCAAGGGGCTTTCCCCACCATGTTGAACTGAATAAAACCTCATCTTGGATTTATGTACACCTGGACTGTAGTACACTAATCCAGTAAGGCTTTTGACAAAGTCCCACATGACCTTTTCCTAAAAAATTGGATAAATGTAGGATAGACAAAACTATGTCAAGGTGGTAGCTGCAAGCAAAGCACAATTATAAATGGATCCATGTCAGAATGGCAGCAGGTTTCCAGTGGAGTCTAACAGGGCTGGGTGCTGTTCAATGTGTTT